GGCCAGGCACAGTGGCTTAGCCTGTAATCCCAGCGCTTTGGGAGGCCGAGGTGAGTGGATTGTCTGAGTCTGCGGGTTCGAGACCCGCCTGGGCAATTTGGCGAGCCCTCATCTCTACAATAAAAAAAAAAAATTAGCCAGAAGTGGTAGCACGCGCCTGTAGTTCCAGCTACTTGGAAGGCTGAGGCAGAAGGATCGTTGGAGCCCAGCAGGTCGAAGCTGCAGTAGCAGGGAGTAGCCACTGCACTCCAGTGTGGCTGACAGAGTGAGACTCCAACTCAAAAAAACCAAAAGAGTCCCTTGTAAAAAAATAAATATGGTGATTATCGATAAATACATAATAGAAAAACAAGTTTTGGAAAGATAACATTAACAGTAAAATAAGTCAGGCTCAGTGGCTCAACCTGTAATCCCGTAACTTGGGAGGCTGAGGTGAGTGGATTGCCTGAGCCTGAGGGTTCGAGATCCGCCTGGGCAACTTGGTGAGACCTCATCTCTACAATAAATCAAAAATTAGCCGGATGTGGTAGCTTGCGCCTGTAGTTCCAGTACTTGGAAGGCTGAGACAGAAGGATCGCCGGAGCCCAGCAGGTCGAGGCTGCGATGGCCAGGAGCGCCACTGCACTCCAGTCTGGGCGACAGAGTGAGACTCCAACTCAAAACAAAAACAAAAAACAAAAAAACAGTAAAATAATAGGCATACACACGCCAGCAGATAGCTAATACTTCTAGAATGCTTTTCGCAGGCCAGGCCCACGCACTAATTAATTTTATCCATGGCTGGGTGTGGTGCCTCAGGCCCGTAATCCCAGCACTTAGGGAGGCAGAGGTGGGAGGATTGCTTAAGCCCAGAAGTTCGAGACCAGCCTAGGCAAAATAGGGAGACCTGTTCTCTATTTAAAAATAATAATAATAATAGCCGGGCTCGGTGGCTCAGCCTGTAATCCCGCACCGTTGGGAGTAGCCGGAATTACAGGCGCGCGCTACCACGTCCAGCTAATTT